CTCTGTTTCATTGGTCTTCATGTCTTTTTTTGTGCCAGTATCATGCTGTTTTTATTATCACAGCTTTGTAATATATTTTGAGGTAAGGAATTGATATGCAGCTCACTCCACTCTTCTTACATAGGATTGCTTTGGCAATATGGGATCTTTTATGATTCCAGACAAATTTTTTTTTCTTTTTTCTTTTTTTTGAGAGATTTTTGCTACAGGGCGTGTGCACTTGCCAGAAAGAGAGAAACAAAGAGACAGAGAGCAAGAAATCATCCCCCAGGTGGGACGCCACAGCACAATTCCTTTTCCTCCATCTTCCTTTTGGGATCTTGGGCATGCACGCACACGTGCCCGGCATGAGTTTAAGCCACCAGGTCCGGGACTCAAACCGTGGTTGAGTACATGGGAGTCCAGCAACATAGCCATTTGGTCCCATTCCAGACAAATTCTGGAAAAATTATTTTCTAGATCTGTGGGGGATATCTCTTGTAATTTTATAGGGATGGCATTAAATATATAGATTAGTTTGGGTAGGATTGCTACTTTGATTATATTAATTCTCCCAATCTAGGGACATGAAATGTTCTTCCACTTTTTTGGTGTCATTTTCAATTTCTTTTTGAAAATTGTCATACTTTTCCTTGTAGAGGTCTTTGACCTCCTTGGTTAGATTCATTCCTAGGTATCTTATGCTTTTTGTGGCTATGGTAAATGGGATTACTTTCTTCAGTTCTGCCTCTGTCCGCTTGTTGTTCGTATTTAGAAATGCTAAAGATTTTTGAAGTTGATTTTGTATCCTGCTACTTTACTGTCTTCATTTATTTTATTTACTTATATTTATTTATTTATTTATTTATTTATTTATTTATTGAAGAGGTTTTTGCTATAGGGCATGTGCACTTGCCAGAGATACAGAGAGACAGAAAGCAAAAAATTATCCCCTAGGGGGATGGACACACCGCAATCCATTCTCCTCCATTCTCCCCTAGGGATCTTGGGCATGCCTGCACATGCACCTGGCATGAGTTTAAGCCACCAGATCTAAGACTCGAACTACAGTCAATTACATGGGAGTCCAGTGACATAGCCATTACGCCAACTTCCAGTCCCACTGTATTCATTTATTACTTTGAGAAGTTTTTATCATGGACACTTTTGGGTCTTCTGTGTATACAATCATGTTGTCTACAAATCGAGATAATTTCAGCTCTTCCCTATTTGAATACCTTTTATGTCATTCTCTTGTCCGATTACATTGGCTAGAACTTCCAGCATTATATTGAAAAGCAGTGGAGAGAGTGGGCAACCTTGTCTTGTACCAGTTTTTAGTGAAAAAGCTTTCAGCTTTTTCAGTATAATGTTAGTTATAGGTTTTTCATAGATGACTTTTATTATGCTGAGAAATGATTCTGCTGTGCCAGTTTTGCTGAGAATCTTAATCATGAAGGGATGCATCAAATGCCTTTTCTGCATCAGTTGAAATGATCATATGGTTTTTATCTTTCTTTCTGTTAATATGATGTATTACATTTATGGTTTTGCGTATGTGGAACCACCCTTGCATCCCTGGAATAAAGCTTACATGGTCGTGATGAATAATCTTTTTTATGCTGTTGGATATAATTTGCTAGTATCTTGAGAATTTTTTTGCATCTCTCTTCATCAGAGATATTGGTCTGTACTTTTCCTTTCTTGTCATATCCTTATCTATTTTGGGAATGAGGGTGATGGAGACGTCATAAAATAAATTTGGGAGGTTTCCTTCATTTTGGATCTTTAGAAATAAGTTGAATAGAATGGGGGTTACCTCTTCCTTAAAAATTTTGTAGAGAGGGACCAGCAGTTAGCATAATGGCTATGTCGCTGAACTCCCATGTAGTTGACTGCGATTCGAGTCCTGGACCTGGTGGCTTAAACTCATGCCGGGCGCATGTGCGTGCGTGCCCAAGATCCTGAGAGGAGAATGGAGGAGAAGGGATTGCGGCATGGCTATCTTCCCTGGGGGGTGGTATTTTGCTTTCTGTCTTCTCTTCTCTGTCTTTCTGGCGAGCACATGCGCCCTATAGCAAAAACTTCTCCAAAAAATTTTTTTTTAGAACTCAGAAGTGAAGTCATCATGACCTGGGCTTTTCTTTGTTGGAAGTTATTTATGGACTATTAAGGCTTTCCATGTCCTCCTGAGTCAAGCTTGGAAGATTAAATGTGTCCAGGAATTTATCATACAGGTTTTCTTGTTTGTTAGCAGATAGTCACTCATAGTATACTCTAATGATGTTTTATGTTTCTGTTTTGTCTGTTGTAATATTGTCTGTTTCATTGCAAATTTGATTTATCTGGTTCCTTTCTCTCTTCTTAATTAGTCTAGCTAATGGTGTTTCAATCTTGTTTATTTTTTCAAAGAACCAGCTTTTGCTTTACTTTATTTTCTATATAGTTTGTTTATTTTCTATTTCACTTATTTCTGCTCGAATCTTTATTATTTCTTTCCTCCTGAAAATTTTTGGATTTTTTTTCTAGTTTCCTGGGGCAGCATGTTAGGTTGTCCATTTGCTATCTTTCCATCTTTTTCTCATGCACACTAATTGCTACCAACTTCCCTCTTATGACTGCTTTTGTGTTGCCTCATAGATTATTGGAATCTCATGCATTCATTATCATTTGTTTCCATGAATCTTTTGATTTCAGTCTTAATCTCTTCAGGAGTTGTGAAGTCATTCAGGAGTAGGTTATTTAGTTTCCATGTATTTGCATATTTTCAAGGGTTTTACCTGAAGTTAATATCAGGTTTAATTTTGTCATGGTCAGAGAAAATGCTGGATATAGTTTCTGGGATTTGAATCTGTAAAGGCTTGTCTGTGCCCTATCATGTGGTCAGACTTCAAGAAGGTACCATGTGGAGGTAAAATGTTTATTTTGTGGTTTTTGGGTAGAAAGTTCTGTAGATACCTGTCAAATCCATCTGATTTATGGTATCATTTAGGTCCTGAATCTCTTTGCTTATTTTTTGTCTCATTGATCTGTCTCTACAGAAGATAATGGGGAGTTGAGATCCCCAGCAATTAGTGTGTTGCATTCTTATCTCTTCATTAGATATAGCAGTCTTTCCTTCACGTATTTGGTTGCTCCTGAGTTGGGTGCATAGATATAAATTTATGAATGTTATATCTTCTTGATGAATTCTTTCTTTTATTATTATATAATCTCCTTCTTTTTCTCTTCTTACAGTTTTTGTCCTAAAGCCTGTTTTGTCTGAAATCAGTATCATGACTCCCATTCTTTTTCAGTTTCCATTTGCATGGAACATCTTTTTCTAGCCTTTCACTTTTAGTCTACATATTTCTTTATCCATAAAGTGGGTTTCTTACAGGCAACAGATGGAGGCTTTCTATTTTTTTATCCATTCAGCCAGTCTGTGTCTTTCGATTGGAGAATTTAAACCATTAACATTCAATGTTGTTATGGATATTTCTGGACTTGTCCCTACTATTAAGTTGACCATTTTCTTGGCTGTTTTTTCCTTTTCTTATTTCTGTTTTTATGTCTTTAGTTTTCTTGGTATAGCACTTTCTTCAGAACTTCATGAAGATCTGGTCTGCAATTGGTAAATTCTTTCAGGTTTTGTTTATCTGAGAATGTTTTTATCCTTTCTTTCCAAATGAAAAATAATCTTGCCAGGTATAGTAATCTTGATTGAAACTGTTTTTCATTTAACACCTTAACTATATTTCCCCATTCTTTCCTCGACTGCATTTTTTCTGATGAGAGGTCTGGTGTTAGCCTGATGGAATAACTTTTCTAAGTAGTGACATTTTTCTCTTGCAAATTTTAGTATCTTGTCTTTGTCTGTGGTTTTGACCTAATTGGCTGTGATGTACCATGGAAAAGATCTTCTTGGGTTGATTCTGTTTGGGGTCCTTTATATTTCTTGGGTTTGGATGTTTGAATGTTTCTCTAGGCTTGGAAAGTTTTCTTCTAGGATTTCATGGAATAGATTATCAATATGATCCTCATTTTCTTTTTCTTTTTCTTTTTTTTTTTTGGTTATTTTTGATATCATTTTGGGTTTTTTTTTTTCTATGTCAAAGAATTTTTTTTTTTTTTGAGAGTTTTTTTGCTATAGGGTGCATGTGCTTGCCAGAAAAACAGAGAGAGACAGAGAGAAAAGCGAGAAATCACCTCCTGGGTGGGGTGGGGGGGAGGCCACGCTGCAATCCCTTTTCCATTTTCCTCTCAAGATCTTGGACATGCATGCACACACACTCAGCATGAGTTTAAGCCACGAGGTATGGGACTTGAACCACGGTCGACTACATGGAAGTCCAGCGATATAGCCATTATGCCAAGTGCTGATCCCAAGGTCAGAAGTTTTTGTCTTCTACATATGAGATTCGACTTTCCCTTCTACATGATCTAATATGCTTTTAATATTTTTAAGAGATGTTTTGATTTCCTGTATTATGTCTTTCATCTTTAACAGTTCCGTTCTACTTTATTGCGTCTATTTCTTCTTTTAAATCGTGTAAAGGTTCCTCATCTCTTATAGCTCATTGTCCTTTTTCTCTTGCATCTTTGGAGTTCATTGTCTCTTTTTTCTTGTATCTCATTTAATTTTGTCACTATGAATACTCTGAATTGTTTATTAGACATTTTCATCAGTTCCATTATACTGTCTGTGTATGATGAGGAATTGTTATTTTCCCTTGAGGGAGAAATATTTTCTTGGTTTCTTATGTACTGGTTTCTGGTCATCTGAGGAATTATACATTTCTTTCTAATTTCTTAGAGTTAATTTTGAGTGTTCAGAAGCATGCAGGAGGATGTGACCTGTGATCTCTTTGTAGCCCCATCTCCCAGATGCTCACCCTGTAACCTACACTTTTGTTGCTGGGACTGTATGTTCCAAATACCTCCCAGATTCCAGAGAACAGATACACCTAGGGCTGAGTTGCAGGATTTCAACTGAGGAAGAAAGTACGGGTCATTTCAGAAAACTACGAAATCTGTAACGAATGGGAGAGAGTGGAGGTTCCGAGGTGGTCTCTGGTCTCAGTACATTCACTCACTTCTGCCGTGCAAGAGCCAGGAAGAATCCCAATTGTCCTTTTTCAAAAAAAGACAGACAAATGGCAGCCTGTATCATTTTGAAGCTGAAAAAATGGTAAGTGCCACCATTAAGTCAGGGATTGACTGGACTTTAAAGGCCATGGTCTGTGTTGTTGCCCCTGCAGCTGCATCTGATCCACTGGAACTCCACCCTGTTTGGAAGCATCGATGAGGCTGTGGGGAAGCCTCATGGAATCGCCATTATTGCTCTGTTTGTTCAGGTAAGTGGACTGCTAAGATGGTTGTACTGTTTAGAGGTACTGATTGTTAATCTACGTGGTAAAATGTTTCTTATTGTCTCTCTGCTTTATTACCTAGAGGTAAAATTAAACACATGCAGAGAATATTGGTAATTTAAAAAGAGGAAACTCCATCTTTGCAGTTCATGAGAGTTCACCCCCATTCTCTGGTAGAAAATACAGTAGTTCATCTATTTAGTAGAAATTTTCTTTAGAGTGGCCTTGAGGGTCTTTAGAGAAATGACTTAGAAAATGTCTCTTGAAGGCAAAGTTAATTTTATTTATGAAAAAAGAATTTCAGAAAATGTTTTTAGACTCTGGCTTAAAGCAAAATCTAAGAAAAATCAATAATATAATCATGTAGTGGATTACTTTAGCTCTTTTGTTATTAACAACTTTCACTTCAAGATGGTTTGAAGTGCTTTTTAGAAAATACTGGTAAGACTGGCAGAGACCTTGGCGGATAGGAGAGGACTTCACACTGTTTGTGGAAAAATCGAATGAAAGTGTGAATTTATTTTGGTACAGAAAAGTTTTTAAAATCCATGCAGTTTTTCATAATGTGTATTTTCTATGAACTTTTTGAAGTCTCCTTATATAGTAAGTATACAATTTAGATTTGAGCTCTATGGTAGACAAGGGATAGATTTTATAAATTTAGCCAAATGTATGAAAGCATATCACATGCTTTCAAAGGTAAAACCTTAATCCAGTTCCTCAGGTGAAACTTTTTACCTCTGTCTTATCATCTACTTGACATGATAAAAGATTTAGAGGTAAAAGAGACCCTCCATGGGACCAGCAGTTAGCGTAATGCCTATGTCGCTGAACTCCCATGTAGTTGACTATGGTTCGAGTTCCGGACCCAGTGGCTTTAATTTACACCAGCTGCGTGTGCGGGGG